AATAATATAAAATTCAAAATTATAAAATCAGAAAGAAGATACGTTTCTAATATTTAAAAGAGAATACAAAATAATTTATATTCCTTTCTCTTCGCTTTTTTTATTTCCATATTTTTTATTATTTCCATTTGTTTATTTGATTATAAGTATAAAGTATTAAGTTTCTCTGAAATGCAAAAAGAATCGATAAACTAATTTTCTCTTCCATTCTATACGAAGTATAAAATAAGGAAATTTCGGAGGTATTTGTCCGTTGAATGTCTCGCGAAATCCGGTGCATAAATCACTCCGTTCAATTGTGTCAAATTAATCCTTTCTTGATGCTCTTATATTTCATTGTTCTGCCTCTGGTTTTTGTTACGTGTGATTAGCTCTTCGTTCAAATCAGCCACGAAGGCAATATTTCGCAACGGCAACGAAACAATTAACGACGTCATCCGGTCGGGCACGAAAAAGATTGTCTATGAAAAACTGCAGTTGTTTTCTGCGGGCGATCATTTTCTGGGTATCGACCTGGGATGAGAAAGGGGGACGAAAGTGTGCCAGAGTAATTTTCTTGGACGTTGTTTTACACAGCGCATCGTCGGCTGTTAATCTTGCCAATTAACGGTCTTCGGATGACATAAAAACCATGGCGGCGACGAAGTAGAAGCGACGCATAAAAAGGAAGGTAACTCGAAACTTGTAGTAAAACGGAGGAAAATTGGTAGAATTAATGGCGTGTACCCGCGCCCGTCATAATCTTCAAATAATTACGCTCGTAATTTTACGATCTCTTGACATCCTACTTAAACTTCGAAAGAAATGTCCTTCAAAGATTTCTCCAGTGGATTATTATCGTAATTTTTATATTCTTGAAAAAGAGAAAAAAAAAGAATGATTCTTTAACAGGGCAAGTTGAAAAACTTTATAAAGCTTTAAAAATACAGATACGAGTTGTTTTTTATACAAGATACAATGTTGTTTTTGAACGAATATCAGATGATTAATTTTTATAATAGAAATGTTTATATATCGTACCATAATACTTGATATCAAAAAAATATCATATAAATTTTCATGTTGTAAAATAATTTTAAAAAAATCTAAAGAATAAAAAGAATTCATATCATAAATAACAACAATGAGGAAGATATAAATCAAAATAAAAAAGAATCAAAATTGGGCTTTTAACAATGAGAGAATTAGGATAAAAGCGCAAGAAGCGCATTTTTATTCGAGCGGTTTTTCTTGGTGGAAAAAGTCAAATGAAGCAGAATCGATTTGGATTATGGAGATTATTTGAATGAAATACGAGATGACGTTTTAGTAAATTGCAAAAATATTACTGCAGAACGTAGAGAATCGTTGTTGCGATCGTCGCGGCTGTTTGTCATGATTTATACCTCTTGCGCGACTCCGTGATGCAAGAAATGTCGAATTAAACTTGGCGTAAACGGGGTAGCGAAGGCGCATGCTAATTAAGATATAACATTGACTAATGGCTGCTAATCCTAACGCGCATAAATGAAATATAATTCACCCTGCGGCGGGCTATATTACGCCATAGTCGGTTTATACGCAGCGCACTTACTTTCACAGGAACGTGCCTGGTGATTTAAGTATCCGCCGTTAATAAGGACAGCTACTATACGTCGGAATAAGCGTGTCCGATGCGATTTTTAACTATTATTAATTTCACGGGAGTTCCCTCGAGCCGGATTGCTCTGTTGAATGCATCGACGAAAAATGACTTGCCCCTTTAGACGAATTTGCATTTGAATAAAGTAACGCTTTATAAGATGTATGATTTATAAGATGTATGATTTATAAGATGTATGATTTATAAGATATATAATTTTATATGAAATCGCTCTTGTGATATGTATACAAAATTTTAAACTTTTTTTCTGTTATGAATTTTTTAGTTTATGATATAATTTATAAGTGATTTTTTTCAACAAAAATATAGAACACTCTTACAACTTTTAAATCATAAAAAATTGTAAGCACAGAAAATTTAAAAGTTATAATTTAAGAGTAAATGTAAAAAAATAAGAAAATTTTATTTTTATTTAATTGTAATTTTTTATTTAATTGTAATTAATTTTTATTTTAACGGAACATTAATATGCCAGAGTTATTAAATAGTTTTGGTCGAATTAAGCAGTTTGTTTGTATTTATAATAAGTATTCATTACGCTTTTCCATTTGTGTCGCGACGATGCTTGAATAATAATTTTATTCGCTCTTCTTAATAGATTAGAGAATCGCGATCAGCGTGATTGCAAAAAAGCATTGATCCACCCAATGTTATATAAGAGACATCTATTTGGCTCCGTTTTCTTTGACTTTGACGGAAAACCCGCGATTTCTACGCCGCAAAGTTTATCTTGTCTGCCGTCCCGTTTTTCTTTTTGCAAGAAAGAAAAAGAAAGACGAAGAGCGAAAGAACCTCACAAAGTTTCGGCGGCAGAAGAGAGGACGGTCCAAGAAGTGCTCTCAGCGTGGAAACGAGAAAAATCACGGGAAGCGCGCGAGCGTGCGCGAGCAGTGCGCCGCATCTCAAGGATTTCTCGGGTTAAAGTCACCGAAATCCCGGCCGGGCAAACGAAATTAGGAACACGGTGAACTGGTCCTTTGCGAAAACTCAGCTCTGAGAAGGAAAGCTGAGACTAGTCTTGTTAGAATCCGATAAAATTTCTCGCGAATACGTTGGATGCTCCGTCGAAACGTTGGAACACGCGACAAGTTATTTTTTTTCTCTTTACTCTTCTCTCTCTCTCTCTTTCTTGCAAAATGGATCAATAAATCGTAATCATTTAGAGAAAACTGTATATAATGTATAAAAGATAGTGCAGTTTTCTTGCGATTAAAAGGTTTAAAATTGAAGTTGATTGACTTAAAAATCGATAAGGTAATAATACTTTTCTCAAATCACATTATCAAAAATATGAATATTTCATAAATGATTCTATTATTATATCTGAGTAATATGTGTAAAATTTTAACACAATTCTCTTATATTTAAAAGTTATTTAATTTTTTGTTTGCTTTGATTCTTATCAAATGCAAATTTAATACGAAAAGTAGCACCGTGAATTAATAAAATTTTTTATATTTATTAATAAAACTCTAACAAAAATTTTTATGCGAAAGTTTATTTAAAGCCACTTACTCGTTTAAAAGTTGTTTACCTAAAACTGCAAAAAACCATGGTTATTACGCAATGTGCAGCATAAGCTAGCCAAATTTGTCGTTTTGTTTTTGCAGTTAGTTTCAGGGCATATTTATGATCAAAATTTTTTGGCTGAAATTAACTGATATTGACTTTTTTGACTAATCTTATTGACTGATGTATTTTTAGCTGATATTTTATAATCAGAACATCCTAATGCTAATGAAAGTTGTGTGCCGCTATATGTTTTATATTACATTTATATAACAAATTTCAGTTAATACTTTATTCAATTAATATTCTATTTTCTCACAAGAATTTCACTTTACACCATTTAAGCTCGTCAAGATTAAAATATTTCGTTTTTGCTCTTCTAAATAGAAATAAGAATTTTTCACGACATAACAATTTTGATATGACAGATAATTTTCTTACATTGTACAGGTAAGCTATTTTATGCACAGAAAAATTGCAGGAGTTAAAAATTGCGGAATTATTATTTTGTACGAAGTCATGAAGCTCATAAGAAAATGTAAAAAATAAAGAATTAATGAGATATTAGAGATTGTATACTGAAATAATACTGAAGTGAATATTATTATGATATCTAATACATTTATGTGTAAACATTTTTCAACACTGTGGAAGTAATTAATTCTATCATTAAAATGCTGGATTTTCAAAGAAACTATCGTATTTTTTAACACAAGGAAGATACATAAATTCAACTGAAATATTAATAATAAAACTGTCTAATAAGGATTTTCAATTGGCTCTGCATTAGTTTTATGCAAACCACACTGAAATAAATAGTTAATATATAAAGACTTTATCAGCGAGCGGCGGCTTTGTGAAAATCGTTTTTAATTCAAAGCGATCATATACAAATGGCGTCCATTAACACGAAATCGGATGGCCTGGTAATCATGCAACTGTCCGTGCACGGTATATTGCCAGTTCTTTGTACGCGACGCGACGCTTTGTCAGTTTTGCAAATTAAAAATATTCAGTGAACGGTCGCGAAAAAAGGAAAACAATCGGCGTGCTTGTTTTCAACATCAACGAGATAATTCTTTCTCATCCGCCTTTGCAAAGGCCGTGTCCAGGTTACGAGTCCCGCCATTCTCTACGTCTCCCTTTTCTCCCTGAGCCGAGGGAGATTGCTTCTGGCACCCTGCTCGGAATAACAAATATAAACCGACGATTTGCAACCACTGACGTAAAAGGGACCAATCCCCCGCGGCCATCGCGCGTACATATATCCCGAAATACAATTTATAGATCCCATTATATATACACATATAGGGATGCTGGTATAATCAAGTTTAGAATTACGATAAAAAGAATTTAAAAGAGGAAAAATAGATACAATCTTCATTTAGCAATTATACCGAATAAATAGACAGATAGCTCCAAAAATAATATTTTCACTAAATAGAAAGAAGAAAGATTATTATCATGTAATTTTGAGATTCTTGTTTAATACCTATATCAGGCTACAAAGAAAAAAACTTTTGTTGAAATAAAAATTTAGCTAGCTACAAATCTGAAAATTAATTTTATTGAATTATTATTATAAAATAATTATGAATATTAATTGTTAATTGCTAGAATAGTAAAACTTTTTACTATATTACTCATTATGCTTGAATTTCTTATGTAATTATTTTTATGGTCTAACAAAATTATTTTCAGATCTATGTAAATTTTTAGATAATTTAGCAAAATTGTGCCTTCTAGACATTGAGATTGAAATTGAGATTGAATTTGACCAATCAAAGCAAAGATCACTAAATTTGATATTAGTTTTTTTTTCTTTTAATTGGTTAAATTCGATTTGAATCCCAATCTCTAATCTGACACGGGCATTAGAGTAAACAATTTCGCGCGCAGCACCGACAGCCAATTGGAGGAGTCATATGAACTAGTCAAACGCGTCAACAAGAATCGTGCTTGTCTCTTACGAGTCATTCGTTCGTCGTTGTTGTGATGTTATAAATGTACAGAATCAAACGGATTTTAATTTGGTAAGAAAAACAAATTAATATTGATATAGTGAAGATTAATAAAGTTGCTAATTCTGTCAAGTTGGCTGAATAATTGCAATATCGAACTTTTCTTCAATATCTCTTTTTCGCGAAAATGTTATTTGTTACAATTTTTAGTACAATAAAATTGCCGACGCGTCAACATTGCGGTTCATTCCATCGAGTTAGAACCCGAACCCTTTTTCTCGAGACTCGCCGACTCTAGCAGTTATCATTTATATAATAACTGTCATGTGTTATTTCTAGTTTTATGACATTTTTATTCCTGCGATTTTGTGTCACTTCTTGTATTATAGGTTAACGATTTAACAAGTGTATTTCACGTTTTAACGATTGACAGACTCATTGCTTTCTAGGAAATGCAATTATTGTACGGTTTCATAATATTAATTGAGAACTATTTATGTAGCGAAACCTTATAAAATTATTCCGCGTTATCAAATTACTGGATCGTTGATTTGTGTGAAATTCAATCGAAACATTATTTCTAAAATACATTGAACGATATTTAAAGTCCTCTCAGTTGCTGTGACCTTGTTAATTAGTGAACGTAAACATCATGTGCTCGCTTTCGCGCAACCTCATTCCGTTTGTTTTTATTCAAACATTTTAAGTATTTACATTTTTAATCATTTTCTCCTAATTACTGGATATCTTTATTTTAATAAGAAATTTATTGTAAACGTTGAATTCTTTTTTCTTTAATTATTCTTTGATTACATTCTGCTATTATTTTTTGTCATTTTCTATTCTATATAATAAATATTTCTTTGAGTTCACTTTAAAAGTCTTCTTTCCCCTCTTATCATATATTCGCATTAGATCGAAGTTATTGAACAAGATAATTCAGTAATATTTAATGATTATAGGTTAATTTCCGACAGAGAGAGACGATACAGCATTGTGATTCTGGCAGCAAATAATTTGATAAAAGACAAACGATCTTTTGTTAATTATTTAAAGTCAAGACGTAAAGAAGTCTAAAATAGGCACGTAAATAAGTTTAACATCGTAATATTTGTATATTACGATGCAAATATTAAGGAGCATCATTTTCACAACTTTATTAGGTAAGATAATTAATATTATTGTGTTATTTATATATATGTGCGTGCGTGCGTGCGTGCGTGCGTGCGTGCGTGCGTGCGTGCGTGCGTGCGTGCGTGCGTGTGTGTGTGTGTGTGTGTGTAATAGAATAATAATGAATATATAATTAATATTAGCAATTAATTTATTATGATTAAAAATTGGTTTTTTAATTAAATTAATTTACAATAAGATAGGAAACAAATTAAATTAATTTATTAAAAATAAATTTTTATGAGACTTGAAAGAATAAAATTAATTCTTTAATAATTCTTGATTAGAAAATATAAAATTAATTCTTTGATTACATTCTGATATGAAGAGATATTTTTATCAATAAAGCAACATTTTATGCAATAAATTATCAATTATGTTCTTTAGTTTCTGTGACTGCATACGTGCTAGCAAAGAAAAATGAGAATTACAAAATATGGAATAAAAATAATGAATATATAGAATATAATGGAAAGCACAAAAATTACACTGAAAGCAACAAATCAAGAGTTTATATAAAAGACACTGTAATAAGACGATCTCATTACGCAGATCCCTTGCATCTATCAATGGACGGGGGCACTTGGCAATTAATCTTTTTGATAATAATAAGCATGTTGATATTCTCATATTTGCCAATTTATCTCAAGTAAACAATGGCTTCTCTTCATATTTATGTTTATATGCTACTAATTTTATAATCAATTAATTTTATCTGTAAGAATGATTTACAATATATCAAAGATTTCACTAAAAAAAGATTTTAAGATACGGAATATAATAATATTAAATATTTGTTATTTTAACTTATTACTAAACAATTAAATAATTATTATAATAAAAACAAATAAATAAAAAAATAATTAATTACAATAAAATTAATAGTATTAATTTAATTCAGGCTAAACTATTATTAATACTGAAAAATTATGTACTTCCAAATAATTAGAATATATATTAATTATTATAAACGTTTTTTGTTTGAACAGAATAAGGACGAAATTTTGGTCTGTTTTTATAAACTGGTTTTTCGTTATTTCGAAGGATTATTTCTCTTTCTGTAGACCCTTAATTGCGATTGTGACTCGCAATTCAAGAGACAATATGTATCAAGAAGTGTATCAAACATATAATGTGAGTAAAATGTACAGTATGTGCTATATATCATCATCCACAGAAGAATTAATTAATGATAAATATTTGTATATTATAAATATGTATGTATAAATATATGTATAAATGAATATAAATGTGTATTTATATACAAATATCTGCATATATCAAACAAAATTATTATTATTTTATTATGTGTATATTATTAATTATATTTAATTTATTTTTTAAATATAAATTAATATTATTAATAAAATTTTTTAGCTGCCAGTGGGATTCGTTTAAATAAAGCGTTTTAGATTATTACAATGCTATTGTAAGCTAATACAAAGTGTCACGTATGATACCTATTACTAAAGATATTAACTTTGTCAACTTCGTGCAATATCAAAGATTTTAATGTGATACAAGTAAAATATAAGTAGACTCTAAAAATATATATCAATGACTGATCAAATAAACTTAGTAATAAATATTTTTAGTACTTTTAATTTATGTATTTTTAATTTGAACCTTATTTATTTCCAGCTTAATTAAAACAAAATATAAATTAGTTCTTTTAACTTATTTTTAACTTATTCCTATTCTAACTTATTTGAATACAAATTATTTATACTACTACTTATTTAAATCATCATAATATGATTTTTATATTATGATGATTTAGTCAAAATGAACTCTATTAAGGATTGTTAATAGATTGAAAAATCGAATTTATGCTTCAAAAATAATGATTCTATGCGTATTGATATATATTTTTAATTGCATTGCGTATCAATAATATTAACTCTAAATCTAAAATTTGTGTAAGTACGCATAATTTTAGATTTTTAATATTATGTTTTATAGATTGATACATAAATATAGTAGTTTGTGTACATATTACAGATATGCTGGATTTTTTAAATCTGACAAACATTCTTTATAAGTTATATTTTTTTATAAATCATATTTTTCATAAATTTTGTACATTAAAATCGACAATTATACTACACTCTTATATTGTTTATATTCTTAATGTTTATTGTCTTTTTTAAATGAATATAATAGAATAAATTAAAATTTTATAAGTTTTATAAGTTTTATAAAGAACTAATTTATTTTTGAAAGATAACTTCTTCTTTATTGTCTTTTCTTAGAAAAAACATTAAAGAACAATTTTCAAGTTGTAAATGAATAAAAAAGAAGACTTTTAGTTGCTAACCCTCGGAATATTAAACAAATAAGATAATATTATACATTTAATTTCAAGTGGAATTTGCTAATTTTAACTTGAAATCATAAAGAAAGAATACAAAATCTATAACATACAAAATTAGAAAGTGTGTTTTACAATAAATGAAGGCTTTTCTTGATATTTTTAGTATTAACTAAATATTGATTTAAATTAGCTTTTAAAGAATTAAAAAGATCTTTGGTAGTATCAAATGTCATCATACATGTTATATAGTTGTAAATCAAGAGGCGTGCTTTACTTCAAGTACGGTAAAGTCAACCGCGTACATTTGTCATGCGATTGGTTATCGAATGCAGACATTATATATCGCAATAACGACGGAATTAATTTAAACTTCAATTTAGTGCAAAAGATTTTTCAAGTCCAAATTCATTTTGCACAAAATCCTTTTGCTTTAAATATTTTATTTACGCGAAATTATATTATAATATTAAGAATATAGAACGTAGAAAGTATTTCCTTATATGTAATATAGAATAAAATAAATATCTTGCTGAACTTTGGCTGTACAACTTTTCACGTCACATCGTAGTATGAGAGAATTATAGTCCACGGTATGTATAATTTTTCATTCTTAAATCGGCACAAATTGCTTATATTGTTATTTTTGTACAGAACAAAAAATTTAAACAAGAGACAATTATAAAATATCTTCTTCTTGTTGATATAATAAAGTAATATTTCTTTGTACAATAGTTTCTCTCGTGTACTGATTCTCTCATTTTTACCTTTTCTATTTGAAAGGTTCGATGTAACGCTGAAACCTGTCGATCAGTCGCACATCCATGCTGCGTCATGGAACGAGATTGCATTGGTCCCAATTGGTCCCGGCTTTGAACGTTATTCCCGATTCGTCCTTTGAGCCGGTTGACGTCTGAAATCGTATCATGCAACGCAGGCAGAATGCGCGCACCCGAAATGTTGCAGAATCGGTTTAACCTCCCTGTTGGGAGGGCGCGACTGGGAGGGCGCGACCTCGAAAAAAAAAGAGACACTTTGCCGAGTAGCCAGGCGGTTCTGATAGTGGCAGTGCTTGTTATTCGCGGTGAAATTACTCGTACCACTCAGCAAGATTGAAGGAAAAATCTTTGATACCACGATTCCACCACCCTCACCTGAACGCGATATTTCGCGTCTGTCGCGCGGCTAGACGAGCAAAGCGAATCTTTTTGATGTGCGGCGTGGCGCGTTGCAATCCCAGCCGCATTTGCATCGCACCAGCCGACGAATGAAATTTTCATCGCTGATTTACGAGATCAAAAGTATCTATTCTATAATGATATGTGTACGTGCATATCGGTACAACATTTCTCGCAAGATATCGTACAGAATGTACAAGTAAAATACAGAATGTACAAGTAAAAAGGCATGTTTCTCTTTTATATATTGTATGTAGGTGAAAATAAGTGATCTTAACTCTAGAATGCTATCGATATGTAAATTTTACGTATAAGAGAGTGAGATTGTTGAATGCAAAGTTATACTTTCATTGGTTATTAGGAGATTTAATCTGTCATGCTAAAAATTAGGACAAGTGAAGATCATCTAAAAATTCTGTCCGTTATATATTAATTTGAACTTCCTGGTGATCAATATTAAGAAAGCATAATAAAACTAATTTCAATGTTTTACTAACCAGTTTTATATTATTTTGTATTATTATATATTTAACTCTTAAGTAGACACTAATAAACTCACATAGCGATTGAAGTAGCTCTGGAACTTCTGTCCGTCAAGAAGGCTAACCATTAGATCATTCAATTCATCTTTCACTCATGTGATCTCTATTGTGATCCCTTTTAAGCGGATTGGATGTCTATCCAAGAAATTAAGAAGAAAAAATGGCTCTAATCTTATGCATCTACTTAAGTATATAAAAAGATACATATACAATTATACTACATATTATTTTGTCGTTAAAAGTGTGAAAAAACTCATTTACATTAATTAAGAGTGGTCTATTTTCTTGATATGTAAAATTTACGATAGCAACTTATCACTCAATTTTTGATTACATTTCTAGGGTTAAGATGTACCTCGATTTTTTAGGACAAAATTAAAGTTATTGATTCATCAATACTAAATTCTATAATTAATAGATATTATAATTTATTTTCATTTTTTAATAAGTAAAGAACGAGCCCCAGGCATTTATATCTTGCAAACTTATTACCCCTTTTATTATTCATTTAATTTTTTTTTCTAATTTTAGATATTTATTTTTTATTTTATTTTTGAATATTGAGAATAACAAAAAATTTTTATATATTATATGTCTTAGAAATGTTATACAGTTTCTAAAGTTTAGTTTTACCAAAGAAACAATGCAATACGTCTGTTATTCGATAATCGTATAACATTTCAAGTTTTTCTCTCACATTGAAACGCGAAACTGAAATGATAGTTCGTTTCGTCAAGCGATACTAGTAAAATTTTACTAGTAAATTCATAAATTCCTTCACACATAAAAAAATCAATTAGAATAGATGTATAACGGAAAATAAATTTTCGATATAAACGCAAAGTGAAATCCGTTGACTGCGGTTTTTTTGAGGATAAGATTATTTAAAATCGCTGTAGAAGAGTTAAAACGGATGGTTTTATAAAGATGCCGGGTATTATTTCAGATATCTTTGGATATTTCGAAACAGGCGAGAGAGATAAGTGCGGCGTCGTTATCATTCCGCTTATAGCCGCGGTTTGCTCGCGGCGAAATCGGTAACGCTATCACGTACGGGAGCATTCCTGATTCCGGCGGCCACGGCGGTTTTACGTCATATCCAGACGAAAATTGGGAAATGCTCCTAATTTTCGTCGGCGCAGCCGCGTGCAACATTTCACCGCCAACGCTGGACCGATGCTTACAACGGTACATATCATCGCAAGCTGATTGCGCACGTTTCGCATTATCGCGCGATTGGGGAATAACGTTTGCCCTGTGCTCGTTGGCAGCTGATAATCGCGTCCCGCGAGACTGACGAGAACAAACACAACTGTGAGAAAGAATATCAAGTGATGAGATATAATTGCAACACATATTTAATTTTACTAAAGAGGTAATTATCTCGTGGTTTAAATTTAATTGTTTTCCCGCAAATTTCTGCATCATTCGTATTATCATGAATGCGAATATGCATATATGTCAAGTGAACTTTAGGGAATTATTATGGAACGATAAAAAGCAACATAATGACGATTATATATAGAAAGAGGGAGGGAATTATAGAATATTTTGTTTTATAGAGAAATATAATATACAAACAGATATTCATGTGACATATCTACTTTTAGGAGAAATTTGTTAGCCACAGAGTGATACCAATTATGCTTTAGGAGGAAGTTTTTCAGGCATATAAAACAAACGAATTTACAAAAAATAAAATAGAAAAAAAAGAAAATAGAAGAAAAACGATTATATGATTATAGAATAGGAAGGAAATATGGAATTATCAACTAGTATACAGTATATATAATTTTGCATGTAAGATACATGCACACATTTTGTTATCAAATTTAATTCAATTATATCATTTAAAAATCATATTTAAGGCCTCCAAATTAGATTAAAGTTACAAATTAATCAACATACTTTTCAAAATTACGTGAAGACTACACAGTTTTATAATTATATTACTGTTTGCTATCTGCAAAATTATTGCAGCTTTACAGTAACGCAGTATATAATAATAATTAATGGCTATGTTATAAATTGACAAAGAAGTAATTTTGATGAATGTCTCCAGAATGCACCATAAACTACAAGCCTAGATATATCGTGATATTTCAACCTAACCTTCCACTATTTTAAAACTGGCTCCTTTCTTTCAGGTATAATAATAACCAATAATAATTTCTAATGACTGCTGTATAGGATTGTGTACAAGATTTGAACCAGACGAGAAAGATATTTTTCCCCTATAATTTTCTGGACTCAATATATCTTTGACAAAGGAATCAAAGATCTAATAGATTTTAAGAAATGGACAGAGAATAACATCCTTGCAATCACAATGCTATACAGAGGAAACAAATTATCGTTCTTTACACCAAACGTCCGAATCGATCAGCGCCTCCTAAAAATAAACGTGACAGAGTTATACGGGCGATCTCTCAATCTCGTCAATGGATTCTTTAACGTCACACTTTCAATCGACGTCTCGTGCGCAACGTGTACGGAACGATAG